GATTCAGTGAGAGACCCTGTCTCAAGAAAATGAGGCAGAAAAGGAAAGGGTCACCTGAGATCCTCCTCACTCACACACGCAGGGACGCATACGAAATAGACACACTTGAATACGATACGCAAACACTGATAAAATAAAAATAAATTTTAAAAAATGTAACCACAACCACATGGCTTCAGAAAGTAGCTTCACTCCTGCTCTACAAGAGAGGAGACTGACGTTGGGTGGGGGTGCCTTGGGACAAACAGCACTGAGAGGCCACAGAAAGACTGCCATTCTCGGCTACTCTCAGATTGAGCTCCCGCTGGGCACCACTGTGGGACAGTCTGGCCCTCAGGCTGTTCCAGAGGCTGTTCCTCTGGTGACCATGTGAGTCCTGAGACGGGGGTGGATGGGTGGGGTGGGGGGTAAGAGGGGGGGGTGGCCTGGCCCCCTTTCTTGCTTTTTGGTTCTAGTGCCATTTGGCTGAGGAGGCTTCAAAAGGCCTTTGAATAGAATGATAAACATGGCATTATTGTGAACATCTGTAAGCAAAATATGAGAAGACCTCACTCAGTGAATACACAGCCCAGGCGCCTTCACCAGCAATGTGGGGTTTGTATGTTTAGCTAATGTGCCGAAATTAACCCGAAGTGCTTACCCATTTCAGAATGCCTTTTCATATTTTCATCTGCATGGTTGTTATTACAGAGCGTAAGAATAATTCTCTACCAGGGCATTGAGGACTCTGAATAGCTCAATTAGAATCAATGGAGTGAGACAACAGCATGCCAGCTAATCAGCAGGTTTGCATAACAATCCTTTGAGGGAGTGTGTGCAGAATGCATGGTGTGTGTGTGTGTGTGTGTGTGTGTGTGTGTGTGTGTGTGTGTGCCCGCGCGCGCACACGCGTGTGTGTGCGCTCACACATTATATGAGGGCACATGTGCATACAGAGAAAACCAGAGCCCTTAAAGCAAGCATACAGGAACAAGAGTTCATGGACTACAGAAAAGAAAGTTCCAGAAGACAGAGGTTGGGGTTATGATCTTCGCATTGTGTGTTACCAGTATCCAGAATCATGTTTTTTGCATGTAATTAATATTTTCATGGTAACTAATATATTCCTATCTCTTTGCCTATGTATGTATGTATTTATATGAAAATGTCCTCTTGGAAGTCAGACTCCTCACAGCTATGTCATTCAGTTTGAGTTCTAGCAGAGAAAATTATTGTAGGAAGGGAATGGTGGCCACTAGGATTTCAAATCACTGTCCTGCAAGCAGGCCTTGGGAGGAGAAATGGTGGCTCTGCAAGATCTGTGGGACATGAGCAAGGCCATCTCACATCTAAGCAGAGACCATGCGCATGGTGTAAGGCTTGGGAGTGTGGCTCTAAGGTCAAAAGTCAGGCCTGAAATACCTGGGATAGCCAAGATAGGGGAGTGGCATGCCTGTAATCCAAGAAGCCGGGGAGCCGGGGAGCCGGGACAGGAGGGATGCAAGTGCCAAGCCAACCTGTACTACTTTGTAGGACAAAACAACCCAAACACCAGAACACAGCACTCCTGGGAGAAGATCACAGCAGCCTGTGCTACCGAGTCAGCATTTGATAAGCCTGAGCGAAGAAAGTGTGGGCACATGTCCCAGGAGAATCAGCACTTTTAAAACAGGTCTGTAAGTAAGAAGGTAAATAAGGGAATCACATTACAGTGGAATGTGTGCTCTGTGTGAAGGATGAAGGCCCTCTAGGGAAATGCAAGATGACAATGGTAGCCTTTGGTGGAGCCATGAAGCCCTACCTTCTGCCTCTCCGCTTTGAAGGCCTAACCTCCATTTCCACCCGCCAGTGCCACCCCAGGTTAATCCAACCAGCAGAGAATGAACTCTGCAAACTAAACTCACCATAGACTGACATATGCACCAAGCGTGGCTTCCAATCCGGATTGAAATAAGAAATTTGTCCATCTGCCTAACTGACCTGATCTCATTGTATCTTCTTCCAGGAAATGATCTCCACAGAAGGTCAACACACAAGTAGGTTCTGAGGCAGATGGAGCAGAGCAAGAAGCGGATGGCAGCATTTCAGAGCGCCCAAGAGGTATCAGCAACACCTTCCCCTACTGGACTCACAGGCTCAGCAACCTCTCACTGGGATCCTAGGCTTCCCCCTACGCTGTCATAGGTGGCCAGCTGTTGTTCTGTGTCCTGTAAGTCTGAAACCAATCTCCCCCTGCCCACATCATGGCTACTCCAGTGCCTCAACACAGGGATCCTTTTCTTCCTTTCCCAAGGGACTGCACGAGTTGAAACACTGAAAGAAATATCACACCCTGGACCTCAGCTTGCATGCAGGGATGGGGATGGCCTGGAACGGATCTAGTTTGGAGGCCACAGCTGTCCCCACCTGCGGTGGCTTGAATGAGAATGCCAGAGTCCCCCATAGGCTCATAGAGTTGGATACTTCATCCCAGTTATTGAGATTGTTTGGGAATGATTAGGAAGGTGTGGTTTGTTGGAGCTGGTGTGTCACTGGGGCCAGGCTTTGAAGTTTCAAAATATCTGTGCCATTCCTAGTGTGTCTCTCTGCTTCCTACTTGCAGATCAAGATGTGAGCTCTCAGCTGCTCATGCTGCCAAACCTTTGTCCTACCATCATGGACTCTAATCCTCTGGAACCATGAACCCAATAACACTTTCTTTTATAAGTTGTCTTGGTTCATGGTGTTGTGTCACGGTTAGGTCTCCTCCTCCCCAGCTGTTAGCAGACATGTACACCTCTCCCATGTGCCCTATCAGAATTCTCTCCTGGGTTTCAGTTGCCTTCCAGCTGAGCACAGGGGGCTTCAGAAGAGAGCCTAGATAAAGGGCCTGTGTTGTCCATATACCCCTTTCTTGGTCAAAAAATTGTAACTGGTTCCTTCCCTAGCTGTTTGCTGTGTTCTCCTTCCTGCTACTTTCAGTGTTTGAGGGTTCTACCACTCCTAGGCAATAGGAACATTTTACCCAACCTAACTTTCATAATCAGAAAAACAATAAATTCCAGACAAAGAAATCACCTTTCCTTTTGCGTCTGGGTAGAACCCAACATAATCTCTTTGCAGCCAGAAATCAGTTTCCATAACAACCATGCCTTTTGTTGTGCCCTAGGTTAGCAGTCCTGTTGGGATGGAATGGACGGCGCTCTCTTTCTTAAACCCTTTGGCTCCCATGTTCACTCACAATAGCAGCCTGATACCAGCTGTTTGCATGGACCAAATCATACAGGAATTGGTCCTTTTTCACTTTCAAATTCAAACATCTGTAGAACAAAACAAATCCTTCTTTACTTCCAACACTGGAGTCATTTAGAAACATAGCAATATATCTTGAAGTTCAGCCAAAGACTATGTCTGAAAGAGGAAGGAAGTGTGAATGGCCGAATGGAGGACAACCAAGCTGTAGCAACAGCTGGGAGGCATAAACCATAATGGAGGAGCAACTAAGACAGAGGGTGACTCACATGAACTCTCTGAGCCTCAACCATGCCTCTGTAAAGGGTAGAGACTGGCATGCCATGAGAAAGAAAACAAAGCCTCAAAAGGCACTTACAGTGCTTAGCATGCAGTAGGAATTCCCTAGTGATTCGCAATTATATGGCCAATGAGGCAGAAGGGAACAGGAAAGGGCCTATGGCTACACAAACAAGGTATTACAGTATCAGACTGGCTTTTGGCTTTTGCAGAGTGAGGGTAATAGTATGGAGAGCAGGTATTTAGGAGGTTTTTTTGCTCACTTGTGAGCATGCACATGCCTATGTGTATGATTACATGTGTGTCTCTGTGTGTGTGTGTGTGTGTGTGTGTGTGTGTGTGTGTGTGTGTGTGTCTATGTGAGCGTACCATAGTGTACATATATAGAGAGGTCAGAGAGACAAGCCTGAGGTACTGGTTTTCACCTTTTCACCTTGTTTGAGATAGAAATCTCTTCTCTGCTTCCTAAGACTGGTTAGCTGGACCACTCACTTCCACGGATTCTTTTGTCTCTGCCTCCCATTTCCAGGTAAGGGATGCTGGGATTGCAGATGCTTTTATGTGGATTTTGGAGATTCAAACTCAAGTCATCCAGCTTGTGAGCAAGTGACTTTACCCAGTGGCTCACCTCCCCAGCACTTGTGGGTCTTCTTAGCAACCTTTTCCTCCTAAGCCATTATTCCACATCTAGAACTCCAGGAAGGCATCTCTTCATTTCCATTCCTGAGGCCTGAGAGAATAAACCTGAATGATCTCCAGGGCCCACTGGCATCTCTAGGTATAGCTCTACATAGGCATGTTTAATTTTAAAACAGAAGCAAAAACATATGGATTGGCCACTGAAGACTGTATTCCATGTTCTGCATTCTAAGTTCTGGAGTATTTCAGTTCTTCCCCAGGAGCAGGAAAAAACAAGAACATAGGTTTTTGGAGCACCTTCATTTCTGTAGTAATATGCAAAGGCAAAATTCATACCTTTGCCAACAACTCAGCATGGCTATCTTTCAACAAGGTCCCTCCCTGCTCCCTTCTAAGTCCATGATTCCAGACTGCCATTTGCATTAGCTCACACCAGGCTGAGACATACCCATTTCTCCATGAGCACTGACCAGGAGCCAGCACTGACTGCCACATGAGGTCATCTGAGACCAGCTGGTCCTTGAACTTTCCACCAGGTGACTACAGTCCCATGAGTGAGACCAGGTGAGCCTCAAAGAACTGCCAAGCTGAGCTCAGCCCATTTGCTGAGCTAAAAGGACAGTTATTCCAATCAACCAAGTGTTATGTGATTTCCCACACACACACACAGGAGATAAATGAAATACGTTCCACAAGAAATTCATCATCCTGTATAGCTACTACGTGAGAAGCAGGAGGTATATTTACAGGAATGGTTACAAAAACGTCAGAGAAAATGCATATTTTAAAATATATTTACATTTCAAAGATGTTGTCCCCACCAGCAGAAATGAGTCCCCCTGTTCTTCCAGTGACTGAACAATTGTCCCTACCTGAGCAGACCTCTTTGTAGGTGGGATTGCGTGTGTAGCCTCCTGCAAAACCCACTTGGGTTGAATACACGCCTTTCAAAAGCCAGAACTTGCGCTCAGCTCCCCAGAAGCAGCCCATTCCTGCAGAGAACAAAACAGAGACATCGTGTATCCATATTAAGTTGGTCACTATGTGTCACCACACCTGTTGCTTGGATTGGAGAAGCTGCTCCTGTTGTCTGATGATCAAAGAGGCCCAAAGCTTTGTCTTATAAAGCAAAGGTTTTTGGCACTGAAGAATAATTTAGTGGGAGCAAGATGGCTCAGTGGGTAAAAGGCTTGCTATGAAAACCTGATGACTAGAGTTCCAACCCCAGAGCTGTTGTAGCAAATGGGGTGGGAGTGAGGACAGGAGAATCACCCTGAACCATGTGCAGAAATAACAGGAGGTCTCAATAGGTGGAAGGAGAGAACCGGTTCCTAGGATGCTGTCGTCTGTCCTCCACATGTAAACATACACACTGGTGAATGATAATAATAATGAACATTTTAAACTCCTTAGAGTAATTTAAAGATTATTTGTATACAATATCTGTTTATTCTCCCTCTACGAAAACATGCAAAGCTGCATATTAGCGAAAATACACTTTTCCCCACAACATAGTAAAAAGGTGACTATTTTAAGAATATTTCCACATTTATTTCATAAGTTAATAGAAATTCATGTATGATCAGCTTCAGGATCATTGTAACAAAGATAGATAAGGCTGTGTTCTTTGAAATGGGAAAACATACCAGATCAATAAAGATTGAGGCAGCTATTGCCAATTAACAATTTCACTGACGTGTTCAGATAAAAAAAAAAAAAGAAAAGAAAAGAAAAGAATAAGTTACAATAAATTTGCAAGTGATAAAGCAAGCGTCACCAAAAGCAAAATCTTCTGAGTTCTATTATTAAGCATAATGAGTGAGTGAGGGGGTCTGGATGGGGGTTGGGGCAGCCAAGAAATCACAGGCATCAACAAAGCCACCATCACCGCGCTTACTAGCCATAATCACCAGCAGCTACTAGATCCCTTTGGCATCTGATGAAAATCAAGGCCTGCCTCTCCAAACCATAGGCGCACACAGCATAAAGGCTGCACTGCCCCAAGCACAGGGCCTCTGCCTTCTCAGCAAGATCCCAGGCTGCTTAAGTATACTTGCTAGTCTCTGGCCTATTTCCACACATACGTACTTAAGACTGTTCCTTCTCTCGAGTTTTAGATGCTTTTGCTAAGGCATACATGATTTTATTGGTTACTTTTCTGTTGCTGTGATAAAATACCATGACCAAAGGCAACTTAAGGTAGAGTCCATTTTGGCTTACAGTTCTAAAGAGTGATATGTCTGCAAAGATGGGAAAGGCATGGCGCAGGGACAGGAAGTTGAGAGATGCTATTTCAATCATACATGGGAAGCCAAGAAGAACTGGAAGTGGGGTGAGGCTATAAACCCTCAAAGCCCTCCCCCAGCAACGGACCCCCTCCAGCAAGGCTGCACCCCCTAAACGGTCCACAAGCAGCATCATGCACGGAGGACCAAGTGGTCAAAAAGGAAAGCCTATGGGGAACATTTTTATCAAAACCACCATGTGGGAGAATTTTAAGTCAGAACCTGGCTGCCATCCAAAGACCTTCTAGGTCTGTGTGATCAGTCTGGAATACAGACACGCCTTTAATCCCAGGAGACAGAGGCAGGCAGATCTCTGAATTCAAGGCCAGCCTGGTATAGGGCAGGTTTCAGGTAAACAAAAGCTTAGGTCCAGGCATCGTGGTACACATTTTTAATGCCAGCACTCAGGAGACAGAGGCATGCAGATCTCTGAGTTCTAGTCAGTGTTGTTCAGGCAGTTCAGTTGAGTCAGTGAGTTGAGAGGCAGATCAGTGGAAATGAGTTTGTGGCAGTTCAGTTCATGGAATTCAGAGGCAGTTTTACTGGGAGAGTTTTACAGAGAGAGCTTAAAGAGAATAAACTAGACACAGGTGGAGAGAGAATGACCCAGAGAATGAGAAATAGAAGATTAAAACAGATCACTAGAGTTAGTTTGCAGCCAAGCAGAACAAAAAGTCAAAAGCTGAGAGAAGCCAGTTGGAAGCAGTTAGCTTGGAGAGGCGTTTGAGCCAGAACAGCGGAGTTGAACTGGCCAGGTAGAGTTCAGAAAGAGCTAGAAGGGGTGAGCTTATTCAGCTGTAAGTCTCAGAGGCTGAAAGCATGCTAAGCCTAGATTAGATTGTACGAAGGCCAGAAGCTTCTAGGACTAGGGCTAGGTTAGTTGAAGGAGGCAGTAAGCCACGGAGATGACAATTAGGTAAATAAAAGATACTTTAACACCACCACCCTGAGTTTGAGGTAAAATAAGAGCAGATGAACCAGCACATGCATCGGGCTCACACAGGTCTACACTAGCTAGGCTTCTGATGGGACGATAAGAACATATACTTCATGACATTCTTGACATCTGTTAACATGGCGCTTCTAAAACTTTCAAAGCAAATTGGTAACTAAAAATGATGGTGGACAGAAAGTTCTACAGTGTTCAGAAATATTCTGCTTGCTAAAATGGGAGCCAAATCTAACAAAAATAGGTTAATAGCTTTCAACGGTGATAGATCAAAATAATGAAATTCAATGTGGTAAAAATTACCATTATGTTGATAGTACAGCATGTATATGATTATATCATAATTATCTACAGCTAAATTAAAAGGGAAAAACACAATTATATGCATGCTTTTATTATAACTATAAAGAAATAATCATACCAAAATAGACTGAAAAGAAATATACTAAAGTTGTAATCATGGTTTTATCAGAATAAAATATGTAAAAAGGACTTTTCTATTTTTCATGATTTTCTGTCTCTGGATTACAGGCTCAACACCTGTAATCCCAACACAGGGAAATCTGGGATAGTAAGATCTGTTGCAAGTTCAAGGCCAGCCTGAGCTACAAAGTGAGACCCTATGTTCAAAAAACTTTTTTTTTTCTGTAGTAGCTTCCTATTCATTTAAAAATAAAAAAACATAAACATTTTTAAAGTTGAACATGTAAAGACAGCATTAAGAATATATGTTATTTGAGTTGCCTGCCGTAATATCATCTTTCCTGTTGCCAACTGAATTATTTGCTCATAGTAAACATTGAGATGCACTGAGCAGCTTGAAAACTGAAGTGTCCCATGTCTGTGTCAAAGGGGTCACTGGTAAGATGATTTTCTTGCAGAGTCCTGGCTGAGCAAAGACCACAGGGAATGGCTGGAGAAGAAAAAAGGGAGTTGAGCAGCCCATTGAGGTGACAGGAACCATGCTAAGCTGAAGAACTGCCTATGAGGGCCTACAAATAAAACAGTGCTGCTCTGTGTGGTGATTAACAGTGAGGGCACGTAAGGGTGCCGCAGACTTCCACAGACAGAGCCCATTTTAAAAGGCCATTTGAGCACCATCCCTCCCTGACCTTTCACTGTAGCCCCAGTTGGCCCCATGCTGACCGGGTCACCCATCTCTAAAGTACAGTGGTCCTGCTCTATCTGTGGCTTCACTTTCTCGTGAACAGTCATTATCTAAGAATATACAGTAGAAAATTTCAGAAATGATCAGCTCCTGGCTTCTAAATTGTAGCCCACCTCATGTAGTATGAGATTTCACAGTACTCCATCCTTGCCCAGTAAGTACATGGACTATCCCTTGTCCAGTGTGTCTACCCTGTATATGCTATCCACCCATTAGGGACATTGCCACCTCAGATATCAGATCCACTGTGGCAGTATTTCAGTGCTAGTATTGCCACTTGCCAGCTTTAGTGAAGGCCTCAAGTGCAAGAATGATACTCATAGGAAGTCTAATACACCAAACAGAACCTATAGAATGTACTTAGGTATAGTGTGGCCTGTTGTTTCAGGCAGCTATGCAGGGTCGTGAAGCATCCCCCAACAGATAGGGGAGTTGGCTGTTATACAAGCTTTTAAAATATAATGTGTGTTTGGAAATGGGCAAGCTGTGGAGGTTTGAATGAGATTTCCCCTTGGCCTTAGGTATTTGAATGATTGGTCCCTAGTTGGTGGAGCTGTTTGGTACAGTTTAGGAGGTACTGTTGTTGAAGGGAGTATTTCACTGGAGGTGAGATTTTTGTGTTTAAAGACTTACATTATTTCCAGGTTTCTCTCTGTCTTGTGCTTAAGGTTCAAGCAGTAAACCCCAAGCTTTTGCTGTCAGCATCTAGCCAGCCCCTGTCTGCTGTCTCTCTGCTCCACCATTATGGATTCTAGCCCTCTGGAATCTGGACCAAGAAGCCCCAACAAACTTTCTTTTTTATAAATTGCCTTGGTCATAAAGTTTTACCATAATAATAGAAAACTGACTAATATAGAAGCTGGTGTCAGGATATTGTGGGGACAGACTCCGCCATACTGTTTCATAGAGAAATATGAAAAACATTGGGACTTCAGATTAGAAAAGTGATTGACTAGGGTAAGCAGAGCTTAATGGGCCATCCTGGTAGGAGCTTAGAAGACAGTAGCACTGAGAGCCATGCAGACTGTGGAGGCCCAGCTCAAGGGGCTTCAAAGGGAGCAATATTAGCAGCGGGGCCAGAGATCATTCTTAAGATATTTTAGCAAAGAATATGGCTGTCTGGTCTTATCCTAAGAATTTGCCTGAGTAATGTACTAATTTATTTGGTGGAGGAGAGAGCAAGATAACCTACTATTGACTCTGTCACACAGTTACTGTGGTCACTCCTGTGCAGATCTACAATGAAAAAGAGCAAGTCAGACAAAAAGGAATACAAAATATACAGTTTAATAAGAAAAAGAGCACCAGAAATCTTAGTGTTGCAGCCAAAGCTCTCAGACATGGAGGTTAAGAGAGGCCTGATCTGAATTGTAATTAAGGGAGGGATGCCCTCAGGGAAAGACTTCATCCAGCTCAGCTTCCAACTTTTAAAAATGAAAGACTTAAAGAATTTTTCTGCTTTTAAAAATCAACAACAAAGGGGGAAACGCTGCAAATGTGATCTAAGGGAGACCAGGCTCCATCCCAAGCAGGCAGTCAAACTTGGCAGTATTGTCGACATGCTTCTGGCTTTAGAGACATGAAGAAAAC